AACGCTTTGCTTAATAGTTACTTGCGCAAGCTTTTGCGTGGAAGATGCTTTAGCCTGCCATGCAAGGACGAACGATCTGCAATTTGCTCGCATTGAAAAGGGAACCGGGCCAACCAGTAGGTAGTCAATGAAGTTTATCAGATTTTTTTTGTGGGTTGGAAGTTTCAGTCAGTCTTGTCAAATCACATTTAGCTGCTGCTTTTCCCAAGAACACGACTTGAAGCATAAGTCATGTTTGTGCCTGTGCACTTGTCCATCATGGCGCCCAACCAAGGTGGCTGTTCAGCTGCACACCTTGCTCAGGCTTGTGGTCCGGCTTTGTTTTTAGTCAGTGATTATTGTCAGAACGGCTAGCCGAGCTTTCATCAGAGTCAGCCAGACTTGCTTGCATCATGTGACTGCGATTTAGGTTCAAGGTTCATGGTCCTAGGTCCAGGGTCCAAGCAGCTGCTTCATGGGGAAGGAGAAACGGAAGGCAGCTGGACAGGCAGTGGCACAGGCGTTAGCTCAGAGAGCGCCATTGGAAGATGGTGCAGGCAGAGCGAAGGAAGTTTGTTTCGCTAGGAGTCCCGAAAAGCTGGACCAAAGATGGACCCTTAGCAGCCTACCGTGGTTCCGGGAAAGTTTTCTCACACAATGGCCTCCTCAACTCAAGCCACAGGCTCCTGACAGCCTCAGCCGACCTGATCTCAGAAAGTGGTAGCGAGCCTTGGCTTTCACCAACCGCGCCTCCAACGTCCTTGTGGAAGGATATTCTGGGTTTCATGAGCGCCAGTGCAACTGGCACCGCAGATTTTGTGATTGCATTTGATGGTCGGTTGATAGAGTGTCGCAGGTTGAATGAGCCTTGGCTGTTTGCATGCAATTGTTTTAGTCGTATTTGAGTGATTTTTCATAGGAGGCCCAACAGTGTTTTTTTCTCTCCGACTCCTTCTTCGAACCTCAGGAGGACCACCTTTTGAGTCATTGAGCCAATCCCATGCCTGCGAGGGCACGATTGTGTATGCTGGAGGGTGCCCTCCACGTGCTGGCAGGTCAAGGCGTGTTCCTTTTGCAGCTCGCAAGGTTGAGGCATTTGCCATTCGCTGCCCAGTGCAGCGCTCGAAAATCAAAGCCAGCAAGAAGGAGTGCTTCACCGCGTGCGGTGAAGAAAGCACATACCAAGGCACATACAGTGGTGTGACTTTCCGGTCTGTCAGCGAGATTCCCCTGATCTCAGCCGATGAGAAGTGTCGGGTTTTGGACCCAAGCGGGAAAGCTGCCAAACCAGATCTTCCAGAGGATTGGACTGATCGCAATGGCCCCCAAGACGCGCCACTCTTCTGGCATGAGTCGAAACCGATCGCGTTCTATTGCGCACTCATTGACGATTTCAAGTTCCAAGCGATTCTGGACCTCTCTCCTGGATCTGGTGCGCTCATGGAAGCAGCGCTTACTCGGGGGGTTTCTTATCATGCTCTTTGCCACCGCCTCAGTTGTTCTTGAATTCGAAAAACATAAGCATGTATATATAAAGACATTTAAAAAGTGGCTGCCTGTATGTTTTTAGCGGCTTGCTTTCCTGGCAGGTCACAACAAAGAACACTTACACTGGTTGCAGGCAATCGCTGATCGGGCTGCATGCGCTCTTGTGGCCTTGGAGGGGTCGTCTTTGTACTCAGAGGAAAGCGCTGCAATTGTGAAGAAATTTTTTCCAGATGTTCTTGCCGGCCTTGCAAAAGGCAAGGACGAGGAAGACCTGGATCTGATGGAGCCTGCAAGCCCAGCTGATTGAACAAATCCGGCTGAAATGGTGGTTCCAAGGTCCAAGGTCCGCCATAGCTTTGTAGGTCAGCGGCAAGCATTGCCTCTCAATTTTGATGGCGGAACCCTTCAGCTAGCATATTTGACCCTTCACAAGCACAAATCGCAAAAAGTAGCGGAAAATGTTATGTGAGGGGTGCTTTGCAAACATTGATGGGTCTTTGGCATGATGCAAGTAGGGAAACGTCGCCGTCAGTCATTCAGTGTGAAAGTTTGACTTGTTTATTGGCTGTGAGCGGTGCCAACAGTTTGCCCTAGCAGAGCTCCTCCCACTGAGCCATGGCAGCGCTTGCCCCAACGCATCGTCTCAGGGGGAAAACTACCGTCAAGTTCCAAGGACATGGTGGTTCTGGGTCCAAGGTCCAAAGGTCCAAGGTCCAAAGGTCCAAGCTCCAAAAGACTTGCAAGGCCAAACTTAAAGCACAGATCAGCAGGGCTGAGGCAGTGAAGGAGGGTTTGATACCCAAAGCTCGCCGAGCCTTTGCCTTGTTCACACAGGAGCAGTCGTCTGTAGCAACTGGCTCGTCGAGGGAAGCCTTTGCAGCTGAGTTGAAAGAACTTGGTAGGAAATGGTCTGCTCTGCCGGAAGCTGAGAAGGCCATATACAAGGCACGCAGTGCAGCTGAGTTCCAAGCCCAGCGGGAAAAGATGGTCAGGTGTGGCATGTTTGTGCGAGGGAGCCTGGAGCCACGCGACAAGCTTCATGAAGACAACAATGACAAACGTGATTGTGATCAGGATCAAAGCCTTAAGAACTTGAAAATAGGGCCCTACACCATTGCCATGCCTGAGCAGACTGGCAGTGACTCTGTTTTGGGCAATGGCTCCTATGGCAAAGTCTTCACAGCTTTTTGCAGTGGCCGGGCTTGTGCTCTCAAAGTCTTCCGCAGTAGACATGCTGAGGAGGAAGCTGGGCATGAAGTCAGCCAGTACAAGATGCTGGAGAAGCTGCCTGCTAGCTACCGGCAATGGTTTCCAGAGCTGCTGAGCTCCGATGCTGCTGGCGTTCCTTTCCCATGGATGTCTACGTCTTTGTGTGGCAAAAGCTTAGCTGATTGGATAGAAGTGAGTGGCCCTTTGCCAAGAGAAATGCTTCAACCATTTGTCTCCCAGCTGCAAACCTCGATTCGGACTCTGCACTGCCAAGCAGGTCTTTTGCGCCTGGACATCAAGCCAGGCAATGTGTTATGGCGCATGGAACTGAAGCAGTTGAGGCTGTGTGACCTGGGAATGGTGGAACCTTTGGTTAGCCAAAAACCGTCGGTTGAAAGCTCTCAGGCCCAGCTCCGTTTCAATCAGTATTGCACACCCTTGTACAGACCTCCAGAACTATGGTGTGTGAAGGATGATGCACCCTTGAGAAAGGCCCTCACAGCAGCCGTCGATTTATGGTCCTTTGGGTGCACTGCTTTTGAAGCAGCTTCTGGAATGCAACTAATGAAGCCAACAGATGCCAGGCAGTCAGCCCAAAAAAGAGTTGCTAGTTGGTGCCAAGATTGGCAACAATTGACTGCCACTACCCACAAGAATCTTCGGTCTGTCTGGGCAGCTCGACTTTCAAGATGTGATTTCTTAAGGCCAGTTGTTTTGTCAGCTTGCCACCCTGAGCCCACAAAAAGAAGATGGACTTGGGAGAAGCGAAGCTGAATTGGCATTCTGGGTTTTCTTGGTGAAAGCACCAAGTGTGGGGATTCGTTGCCATGATAGTGCCAAGTCCTGGGTCAAAGGTCCAAGGTCCCAGGTCAAAGGCTTGCACTTTTCATGTTAGACTAGACCAAAGATCATGCCATGGGGAGAAAAATTGGCACACGCAGCGAGTCGAGAGTTTTCATTAAATCAACCATCCATTGGAAGCAACATGAGTGTCATCAATCACTTCAGTTGAAATGAATTTTCATGTTCCCACTCAATCAGAGTTGTATTTCTAAATCTGCAGGTGCCTATCTGGACGAAGCGGACAAGAGCGCGAGTCAAAAAAGTGCGAAGACAACGGCCAAACCACGGATTTCCTTAAAATTTTTCGGGCCAGTCGAATCCTGAGCACAGTTTTGGTGTCCTTGTGCATAGGACATATTTGGGTTTGTTTATTTAGTAAATACATGTAAATACTCAAATATGCAACTAGTATATATATATATATATACATTTATAAGAGTTGATCTAAAACCCAGTGTAAGAAGTATATATAGATGTTGTTAAAGCCATCCGCAAAAGATTCGCGATGAGGTTCGCAAAAGTATTTGATTTTTTTATCGAAGGTCCTCGCTTTCAGATGTTTTCTTTTCTACCGACCGACCAATGGTCCAATGGTAGAAATACAAGGCAATCCTCCGTGTCCCCGCGTGTCCCCACTGTCACAGACTAACGAACTAAAGCTTCAACATTTCCGTACCCAGACCTCGCAGTGCGTAGAGGATTCTCCGATTCCTGTCCCCACTGTCACAGACTAGCAACCTGAGTAGGGACAGCCCTGACACTGAGCTTCGCGATGGGGCCGCGAAAGATACTTTTTTCCGCGAAGAATGGCGCAGATGACTTCCCAACATCCGTTGTCGCAGGCTAGCGCAGTTAGAACTGTAGCACCTTGGTATTTACAGAACTGCAGCCAGATCGCCTCTTCGCCTTGTTTTTGTGCAAATCCTGTGGCAATCCCTGAAAGTCCCCTTGTCCACCAACTTGTCGGGATATTTGTTCGCCCACCGTCGCCTCAGTTCAAAGCCTCCTTGTCCTAGTCCTCATTTTTACCAATGTGGCTCGCTTTCATCATTGCTAGCAAACGCGACCACCGCAGCCAGGGTGACACCCTGTGCCACATTGTTCCTTTTTTCTTCTGTTTCTCGGAGCCGCGGCAGTCCCTGGCCTGACTGGAAGGCCAGTAAAAGTTGAGGACCATTTGTAGTTGCACCTGGTGAAAGGGAGGCAGAAGTGCCAGACAGCATCAATGCTTGGGGCGTGTACTTTGTGTCCAAAGCTATGAGACAGGAATGAAGGAACAATGGTAATGGAGACAAGGGGAAAACAATGAACGTGATAACCAAAACATGAAGACAAAAACCAACCAAGCGGTGTGTCGACTGTAGGCCGCTTACTTACACTTAAATTTTATTCTTTTTGTTATTTTTCTTAAGTTTTATTCTTCTGGTGTTTAGTATCAGTAGCTGTTGGCCAGTGCAAGTTTGTGAGTTTTGGGATGCAAGGCAGCCTTGCAAGTGCAGCAGCTGTGGCGAACACCGCCGAACCCAAAACTGTCCCGAAGGCCAATGCCGGGCTTAGCAGCTCAATGCTGAAGAAAGCTTTTGATATTGATGTCTTCCGCTGCATGGCGGCTGCTGGAGTTGATACACATCCAATGGAGGACGATGACATTGCCAGTCTTGATGGTGCCATCAAGTATGTGCACACAGAAATCCTAACAGAGCACTTGCAGAACCCCATCAGGGACACCCGCAAGTACAACATAGATGTAGTCACTCGCCATCGCATGAAGGTCCTCAATCCGGATACCATTCTCGGCACGCCGCACGCAGTGCAAGGGGAGTTTGGCCAGTTTATCACGTATGACTTTGGGAAGGCAACCAACCCAGATCAGATGCCTATAATCCAGGAACAGGCACGTGGGTTGCAGCGTGGGTTGAAAACTCTTGCCGAGCAACTCAAACTTCCCGACAATGTCAGACATTGTCAGATGTGTGGACAGGGCGATTTTGTCGGAATTCAACCTTGCACAGTCGCTTGGCACAGCTATAGTTGAAGTCACTTGGCCAGTGGAGTAACTGAGAAATCTGAGAGGCCTTTAAACTTTAAACGGACAAGTGATGACAGAGGACTTGCAGTGTGATCCGCGGTATATTGCCTGCAAACCCTATGCATGGCTATCCTTGGGCACAGTTCTCAGACTGATCATGTGCTGGCTCTTCCTGGGTCTTTACTTTGTCTTGAGCTTGCTGTCAGCGTGCAGGCAACTGGTGCCCAAACTTATCCTGGGACAAGACCCCTAGCTGAGGTCTAGGCGCATAGGCTGCTGTGCATGCCCACATTGTTCCTGAGGAAGGGGACCAAGAAGAAACCCAATCCGCATTGCTTGAAGACTGTCCACGGAAATTTCACCAAAGGCAGGCCTGTTTAACATGTTGCTTGATTTGGATGGCGTTGGTTTTCACAGTGGTCAGTTTGCCCAACTGTTTCAGATATTCCAGGCTTGTTTGAATCATACTGTGGTCGTGCTTTTCAGTACTGGCCCTTCTCCATGACACCAGTGATACCAAACCACCGCTACATAAAGTCATAAAGGTCTATAAAGCCGTCAATCAAGCCTTTCAGCCCTGGTACTAATGACCATGCAGCATGTCTTGTGAGGAGGTCTTTGCGAGCATGGTTTCAATGGCAATGGCTTTCTTCCAGGTGCGGCATACAGTGTACACAGTGTATACGGCATTCATGTTTGGATTCTTAGAAACATCTAGAAGGGCAGTCGCGCATGTATTGGGAACGCCTCAGCTTTGCGACCCCGGCAAAAGACTTTTTGCATGACAGACGCATTGTTCCCGCAGGTTCACTTGATTCGTGCGTTGTTTTACAATGAACTTTGTGTCAGAATGATTGTGGATTGTGGACATTGTGGGCACTGGAGCTCCTTTTTGGTTGAGCAGCGGCCAACACTTCCCATGCAGCAATCTAAAGAGAGGTTAACGTAAGATGCATTCGCGAAAGACTTCGCAAACTTTCAACGCGCGAAAGCTTGCAACATCAGTTCTGTCCGCGAAAGATTGCGAAAGTGTTTTGGCACAGAATGTAATTCTTCCCCGGGTCCATTTTATCCTTTTTGTTCCTTTGGTTTGTGTCGTGTTTTGTCCTGTTTGAGATGCTTGTTTTTGTGCAGTGTGCAGGAAATCACGATTTTACTGAACTTTGAGTGGCGTTTCTAGTGCTCAAACAGCTCAATGGAAAACCGTCCTTTTGATAAAACGCCAAGAAAGACACCGTCATCACAGGCCACCAGAGACCAACGTGGAAACATGATTTTTCCAAGTTTAAACTTGTTTTTTTGGTGCTGCGCGTCTTCAGAAAAGATCTAAAACAGGTTTGGGCTTTATGTATTGGCTGGTTTTTGTTTGGTTTGGCTACTTGGCGCATGGAGCCTCGTGCTGTCGCTCAAACATTCGTTAGATGGCAACACTTTCTCGCGCACGTGTCGGCTCGATGTTTTGCTTAGGCCGAAGGCAATCCCTGACACCGATGACGCATATTTTGGGAATCAGCTGTTCTCCTAACAAGTCAAACGGGCTCAGGACATTTTTTTTTCATCATACATCTGAAGAATAGTTCATCCCCGCATTGGTGTATAGTAGATGTGGATATGATCCAACACTATATGTTAGTGGATGATGTTTTCAGCGGTCCCGTGTACATCTCCTAGCCACATGTGCGTTGCTTTTGCCAATGCTGCAGTGTTGTAACCTTTTGCCAACCCTGAAGCAACTTGTAATGTGTAGTAGAGTCAAAGTCTTTTTTGTCAAGTGCCAAGAATCAGAAGCTTTCCGCTTTTCATCGTGCATGTCTAAATTGGGGTGAGGGGTTGTACATGTTTAATCCAAAACCTGCAAACGCAAACCCACGCATGGAGCACGCAATTGTGGCCTCACCACCTTGTCAAATCTGGCAGGCTCGAGCCCAACTGGGGACCCAGGATGTATCTACACTTATGGTGCTGCCACCTTTGTAAGACTTGACGATGTGGCAGGAGACTTACTGTAGCCGCTGTAGCTGATGTGGATGTTTGGCATTGTTTGACTTCTTCTTTCTGGTGCTGTAAATACGTATATGTATATATATATATGTTCAGTAAGTTCTTGAATGTGGACATCATGCTGTTGCTTCAGGTTGGGATCACAAGCGAGTATTGCGGCAAGAGCCATTGCAAAGACTGGTTGGATTTCCGGTTCAACTGTAGCAACCGTAGCTTGTTGGCAGTAGGACAGGTGTCCCCCCCATCATGTTAGACTATTGTTTGCAATTCTGCAGTAGTCTTTTCTTTTTTTTAATACCTGGTGTTTCAAGCCTGACGTCAAACATTTATCTACATGTTCGATGGTTGGGAAGTGTGGTGCAATGCTTCCGTAAGGTGCTGGTGTCACAAACGCCCGTTGTTCATGGTTTGCAATCAGAGCAATAAGTCTGAGAGTGGTGAACATGGACTGGGGTTTGGTCCTTTTGCAGAAATCGCCTGGTGAAAGAGATTGCTAGCATAAAGTAAATATGTAAGAATTTACCCTTTGGCTAGTTCTATAAATCCTGCAGTTGTAAATCTCATGAACTATTCCCGCCAAAGATGCAATCTCCATTGTCCTTTCCTTTAAAAGCACCACATGGCCTTTGTGTGTTGCTACGTTGCCCTGTTATGTTAAATCAAATCTGGCAGTCTTCAAGACTACTCGCTATCAAGGGGCTTTCCTAAATATAGATTGCCAAACATCATCATCATTAAACAACCTGTAACACTGTAAAACCCTCAACTTGTATCTACTGCTGCTTTGGTACGGGTTGTAACTATTTCACTTCTTTAAGTACGTAGCTTGCTTTGCTTTTGCTGTTGATGCCGTGTCAACTTTTGTTTTGGTATAGGTAGTTGCTTGGTTGGCATTTAGTCCCAGTTATATAGTCTCTGTATATATTGAGTTCTCTTGCAGTTAATGATGTGTCAACTTCTGCTTTGGTGTAAGTTGTTGCTGTGCCTGCTTTCAATGCTGAAAAGCCCGTCAATACCCATCACCAACCTCCACCACCTCCCTTTGCAACTGCGGTGGTTGTATATGCTTCTGCTGCACGATTCGATGTACCTACTGTAGTTCCACCAATTTGATTGCAGTAGCCAGGAGGGTTAGGATAAATAACCACCAGGCCTTTAAGTGTCCACTGTAAGCCTCTAGTCTCAGAGTGCCTAAGCCATCGCCTAAGCCCAGACTCACTCAGATACCTACATGTAAAGTTGTACATGTAGAGAAGACTCAGCAGGCCGTCAGAGACTCTGAAAAAGGGGCGGCGGCTGCGTTTATAAGTTCACCCTCAAAAGCAAAACAACAATGTTTGTCCAAACTAGTCCCAACATATACCTATATGTATATACATATGAGTCTCCAACCAAACAAGCCAAGAGAAACAAAACCATGTTTCCCAAAGTGGTCCAAACCCTTGTAGGATGAACATAGTTTCCAAATCATTCTTTTTCGTTTGGGCATAGTGTCTAAAACACTATTTATTCCTTTAGGATCCTAGACATAGTCCTGAGACCATTGTTGAAGCATGTTGTATGCAGATGATTCTGAGACAACTCTTTGAGGCAGCCAAGAGAGCTTGTGTTTGCCAGGGTAGGGAGGAGCCATACAGGGAAGCATCAACGACTCGGGAAGTTTGATTTGGCTGATTTGGACTTGTGCGACAGCATTGCCTGGTATTCTGCACCACCCACATTTCGGCCTTCCCTGAAGGCGCTTGTGCTTTGCAATCCTCCCAGAACTTTTCCTTGGGCTGTTCCAGCGGACAGTAGCAATCTCATCTCGAGCCTGGAATGGCTCGGGCTGACCCCTTTTCAAGATTTTTGAGCGAAAACGCTACAAAAATGCGTCAAAGAGCGGCCCCTCTTTATGGAGACGGAATCTGACCCCCAAAATGAGGGTTAACTTGAACATCCACTATTTCGCAGCCTCATGACCCCCGTTTTGGGGGTCAGATTCGGTCCCAACAGGGGCCTCTTCGAGGCACTTTTGTAGCGCTTGCGCTCAAAAGTCTTCAGCGCGCGGTCAGCCCGAGCCATTCCAGGCTCGAGATGAGATTGCTGTTTTCCGCTGGAACATCAAACCCTCCAAGTTCAGCATCGATGCGCCAAATGTTCCCTTTGCATCCAATGGCGACTGGGAGGCCCACTACGGGAACCCCAGGCTCCACAGTGCTTTTGGCCCTCGCTTCCGGGGGCCACCAAATTCACCAATCTCTGCGCTGCAGCTGCTACAATTCACCGTGCGCCCCGTGCCTGGCCAAGATTTTGCCGCTGTGTTGCTGACTTGGAAACAGCTGCGGCCTAAAATTCAAACCAGGCCACCTTCTGCCCTATGAATGCAAAAACTCGCAACGTGACTAATCCACTTTCATTTGGGTTCCTCTAAACAAATTATAAGGTCCCGGGTCCCCGTTCAGTTTCGTTTCGACGGCCGGAAAATGGCCTGTCTTTGGAGGCCCCACTCGGCCTTGTCACACGTGTAGTCGGCCTCGTTCCAACGAGGCCTTGTCCGGCCTCGTCATGGGTGTGGCAGACTTCGTCCAGCGTGGAGAGGACACGAAATCATGTCTTGCTCGGCGATTAGAAAATTATGAATTATGTCTGCCTGGGGTTCAACTTCCAAATGGCCGGCCACACATCAAGAAACTGGCAAATTCGACCAGAAAAGCACTCAAATCATGATGCGGCATTTTTCCAATCAACTCAACCGCGCGCCCACATCACAGAAAATAAAGTTAACGGGACCAGGGTTGCTTGACAAAATCTCCACCATGCGAAGAAATTGTCAGCGACACCCAGTACACCCAGAGCAGCAGACACATCAGCCAACGACGCCTGCAGCCAATTCAAGGCAAATCTGAGTTGGAAACAACAAAAACCCAACAAACTTTGACCTGGACACGAAACGGAATAATCTGAAACCAAAAGCTTGTGTTGCCAACCTGCGCCAAAAGGCAACGAACGCCCTGCCAAAAAATCCGACCCGACCAACTTCGCAACCCAAAACATGCCCGCGGAAAAAAAACGCAATAAACTTCTAAGCACTTTTAAAATTCCACGAAGCAATCCCCACCACACACAAAACAACAGACTATCCAACGCAAGGTCGCATACCCAAACCGACAACGCGCAACCCACCAAATATCCAACTGACTTACACAACGCCGCCCCTTCCACAAACAGCCGACCAGCCAAAACACCACGCCCGCAAAGCGCCCATCATGCGACCATGCCAGAACAACCGGATCGCGAAACTAGCTAAAACATGCCCCACTAGCGGCCCCACAAGTGACGGCAAAAAACGCTGTAGAGTCCGGGGTCCGGGGTCCCCACAGTCACGAAAGCGAGCTCAGAAGGAGCTCAGCGGAAGTTGTTGTTTACGAAATATGGTGAGGCTCAAAATTGAAAGGTTCAGTGAACTAATTGATTCTTTCAATTAAAGGGAGGGGTCAGCCGAAGGCCCCCCCCCCTCCCTTTTTTTTTTTTGATTCTTTCAATAACCACCCCCTCCCTCACAAAGGAATTGATATTTCAATTGCAGATTGAAACGTCTAAGGGGGCGGGCGGCCCCCTCCCCTGTAAAGTGAATTGAAAGAATCTATTCGACTCCTCCCTCGTCCATACCAAATGCCTAGAAAAGAGAATATGAAAGTCGAGGCTTTTTTTTAGTGTTCGGTTGACTCAGCCAACAACACTTTGCGCTCGTGGCACAAAAGCGTTGCGTTGCTGCCCTCCCTCCGCGTCCCCTTGATCCTTCCACACCCCTCGCTTTCGTCCCCACTGTCCTCAAGTAGGTCTCCTCTTCAACTCCGTTGAACGCAACGGCATCTTGCTTGAAAAAGGGGCAGACCACACCCAACACAAAGCTTTCTGTCTCCTTTTCAAATGCTTTCACATTGTAGGTCGTTGGCCTTCTTTTTGCAAACATGTTCATCACTCATCAACAGCTCCCCCAATAGGCGTCCCATCACCTTTCTTTGGACAATTGGGCAATTTTTAGAGGAACCACTCCTGACTCCTGGTTAGGAGCTTTTGGGGGCCTCGTAGTCTCGTCTTTCATGAAAGTTCATCCAATGCAAAATGCGTTCCCTTTCTCACAGAATCCTCCTTTCAGGTATCGAGGTTACAAACATCAGTTTTTGAAGGTTTCCTGCCTTTAGAATGAGGCCAGGCCACCTGCATCCTTGTAGCGGTTTCCTCCTTTTTCTTTTGAAACCATGTTTTTAGATACAGTAATGTCTTACAGGCACTACATTCGCTCCAAGTTCCTCAGCGTCTGGAAATCGCAGTTTTTGTTAAGCATTCATTTGAAGGCAATTTTCTCCATCATTGTTAGCATATTTTAAAGATTTTTGTTTGTTTCTTTTGCATGTTTCTTTTTCATTTGTGGTCTTTTCCTTTTTCGCTTTTGGTGCAGGCCTTTGCTTTTCCGATTGTTGTTTTTGTTTTTGTTCTTTTGGTTCGCTCTGGGGGGAGTCCTATTTCCTCCACTTAAAGCCTGCCGCGAAGACTGGTTTGTGTTGAATGTCGTCCATGCTGCATTGCACCAACAACTTATGCGACATTTGCTCGACTCTACGTCTTCCCCAAGCTGACTCATCATTGCTCCCTAGTGCTTACTTTGCCGCAGCTAGGCTGGCATCCAAAACGGGCCTGTCCCTTGTAACCCTTTAAGGCTCCCAACCATTTGGGTTGTTTAAGGAATTTAGTAGAGGAAAGAGCCTAGGTTTCACTAAGGTGCGGCAGAGATGGAGCTCCGAAGGCGCAGTGAAGTGAAGAAGAGGAAAGAGCCACTCCAATGTAGCGTGCCTTTGGTGGGCCACCGAAGGATAAAGTTTCGACCCCTTCCGACGTACCTTACCTTTTGTGAGCCAGCCGGGGGTAAAACTTAGAAGAGGCCCCAACTACTGACGTTAGCTGCGGATGTGGCGGGTGTATGTCCAAAGGGTTGTAAGACAGGACACCCACACTGCGGAAAATAGCAGCGAGCTGTGAGGCCCCAGGATTCTGAACAACAATTCCTGAAAAAACATGAAACACATTTTTTTCATCACACATTAACGCCACGCCGTTGTTCTTTTGGTGGGCTTGCAGCGCTGGCCTCTTTTGTGCCTTGCTGATGCCGGCTGACTGTTGGAATTGACATGTTTTGAGACACATCAAACTGGACGAACGTTTGCTCAAGCGCGAAGAGCCACGCGAATCAGCCGCAGTAGACTTCCCAAATGATTACAGTTCTGAACCCCCATCAACAGATCACGATGCGGGAAAGATTGCTGCGACCTTGTTGCTGCGCCTGCCACATCTGGCTGTCAACCAATTCTTGCTTCCATGGGCCATAGGCTTCGCCCCCTCGGCAAACTCGCTCGCCCAGAATCTTTTTTACTGATTGTATATAAGCTTATCGAGTTAGTATAACTTGGCACAGGAAACTGCATAGTGACATTTTAGGAACCGCGGTGCAGGTGAACCCTTCTCTGGCACCATGCCATTAGGCACTTCGTATATAGGTTGGGAGGAAAACTAGGACTGGTGGATGTGAAAGTCCAGTAATGTTCAGCGCCAGGCAGGAAACCGGACAACAAGTAGTTTTTGTGTCCATTGCCAGCGCTTGATTTTACTAGTTGCGGTCTGGGATTCAGACCTAGGGGAACGCTATGCGCGCAAGTTCCTCCCGGATGGGCAGATTGAGAAAGTCAGCTACTGCACCTTGGTTTACGATTCCTTGGCTGGCCTTGTGATGCACTTGGGGCGCTGTGGCCTGTCGCCTTTGTGGCTTCTTTCAGGTGTCGAGTTTGATATGCACCCAGCATGCGAAGCGAGCTGTGAGGCGATTTGCGCCTGACAAACGTGAAGACAGTTGCTGTTGATTCGCCGTCCGTGTTGCTGCAGAGGCTCCCTCGTGCAAGGGTTTGCTGCAGAGTGGTGCCCCCGCGTACTTGGGCACCTTGGTCAATGCAAGACGCCGCCGCACAACAAACAGGTGCACAGTCACGTGGCGTTGTAGACAGGACTGAACAATACTTATATAACATGTATATAAGTCTAAGTATAAATTGTACATTACTGACTGCGTACATATATATATATTATATTGTACATATGTATGTATATATATATATGCGTATATGCACCCACCCACCAATACAATACCCTCCTTTGGACCAAAAGATTGTTGGAAAAACAGACGAAGCAAACTTGAATTTCTACATGGCATAGACAGAAATTGTTTGCCAGCACGTGAGAAATGTATGCAGACATGTCTTGCCGGAGATATGGAAAACAGATAGCCGCTGAGGTATGCAGACTTGGAAGACAGAAATGCAAATGCTCAGTGCAGAAAAATGTTTCCAGTCAGTTGAGTTTTTTTCCCTAGAGGTTTGAGCTGTGCGCTGTAGACATATGCATACATATGCTGAAAAGCCTTTTGCGACCAGTGGTGCACTTCCACATATCGGCGCCGCAAAGCCGGTACTCGTACTGTTCGGACGGAATTGGGAAACTGCTGTTTGCGAGCCAGCCTTTACGTGCTGGCTTCGATGGATGCGTTCCTTTAAAGCCAAGCACGGTCAATATCAACGAAATTTCGAAGGGCCGGTCTACTTGGACATCCTTTTGGCCAACCTTTTGCTTTGATTTTTTCAAGGCTCATTCTGACATGGTCAGTCAAGTGGGCACCTTCTCCGGAAGCCATCGGCACGCTTGGAGCTGTAAGACTGAAGTGCAGGAGTGATCCATCTAACGCTGCGCACACCATAAGAATGTAAGGAGCAGCAAGAAGTGCGGGACAAAGTCTCCTGGGCACTGGGCATCACCGCGGCATGTGCGCGGGTGTTGTCGCGCACAAACTTGCAAAAAGCTGAAAAGTGAAAGGTGAAAGCCGACACACAACACATTATATGGATCTTGTAGGTAACATCACGTGTGACATCTCGTTGATCAAACGTGGCTGTGGGCCACCGATGGACATCGCCCTCCACGCGGGCGGCCTACGGTCAATTACCCTCGGCAGCATTTTAGTCCCTTAGTGTTGCACTTGGTCGTGCTTATGGGTAGCGTTCATGCGGGTGCGTATGCGAGTTCTTCCTGTGAGAAGCTCAGGACGGAGACTTGACAACCAGATTCTCACAACACGGGAGTACTTGGTCAAGTCTGAAGGTAAGCTAATCCCACCCTGACTTTGTCAGCAGTCTCCTTGACGGTACTTGAGAGACTAGTCTGATCTGCGGTTCCCGTTTAAGTCGTCAGGGAAACCCCTGGGGCGGTAGGGTGGATCCGCATCTGCGTTTCCGCCTTCCCCGTCGGTCCTCGGGCTGGCAGTCACCGTGTTTCTGTCATGGGTTTGCTGTCCACTTGGTTTGAACCAAAGGTGCCCGCGCGGTACACTTGAGGCGTTGCTTGGAGGGACAACGCTTGATTCGGAACTTGAGGGTCCTGGGGTTTTGTCTTTCACTTTTTCAACATCCTCACGCTGACACTGGGGGAACTCAGTCGGTAGACTTTTCCGAGCATGCTTTACCAACACAGACTCCGTACTCTGCGGTCGCACTGGAACTGTCAACGTGCAGTGGCACGGGCCGATGGCCGCCGTCACCTACGGCTTTTAGGTCGCAAACTGGGTAAATTGAAACGACAGATAATTCACCGCAAACGCAAACGGACCCGTAGCATTCTCACACGTCTTCGGCGCAAAGTGAGTGAAGCTAAAGCAAACCGTGCATAATGGAAACTGGCCACTTGGAACACTCGAGGTCTGGGGGCGGTAGCAGGGTACATTAACCAAACCCTAAAAATACAGAACATCATTGACCGCATGCACATTCAAAAGTGGGGCATGGTGGTGCTCACGGAGCTCGCGTTTCGAGAAAACGGCGTTCGTTCCTATCACCACTTAGGCCGTACCTGGTATCTGGTGGTCTGTACACGGGTGGGCTTCCTTCTGTCAGAACACTGGTGGGCGCGGCGGCAGTCTGGGGGGGCAGTCCTGCATACACAGGAGCCGTGAGTTGCGGCTTTGGGTTTCCCGCGCGATGGATGGCGTCGCGGTCTCTATGTTGTTGGGGCCTATGCTCCTACCAGTTCGTCAGGTAAGGAAAGTCGTCAAGCGTTACGTCATGCTGTTGAAGTGCTTATGTCCATGGCTCCTGCTACAAGCTTTCTGGTGCTCATGGGCGATATAAATTCCGAAATGGGGAATTGTCAGGATCGGACGCGGGTCGGTTGGGAGGTCTTGGGGTCTTTTTCCTTTCCAAAAATCTCTAGTACCGGCCAGGAATGGCGTGAATGGTGTTTGCGGCACGACCTCAAAGATGCAGCAAGTCGGTTCCTATTTGCCCGTCGGGTCTACTCCGACTCATTCGGAAGTTCGACCGGATGTATCTAAAATGCGAGGTAACTGTCGCCGTACCGCTGTTGAAGTCTGTGGTATTTTGCACTATCATAAAGGAGCTCCCTGGTTACGTACACATGGTGATGAAATTCAGACTTTTGATTGCCGCATTGCAGCGGCCCAACAGGCCGATCGAGCTGCCCAAGTCATTCTGAGGTGTACAGTGTAGGCAACACTTGAAACAGGTGAGGAAAGAAAAATTCTGGCAATTAAAGGAATGGGAAGTAGCGTGGCTCCGTCGCAAGGCGGATGAAGCAAACCGAGTGCTCACCGGATGCTACCCACGTGTTTCGCATTGTAAAGACTTGGTAGCGGCGGTCGGACAGCCGGTTGGGGATGGGAGCCGTAGGATGGCAGGCAGTCAGGCAGAGGTAGAATCTTGGAAGGACCATTTCGAAGCCATTCAGGCGGGAATTGGTGACGTGAACCCAAGTGTGTGCTGACCTGGAGGGTATGGCGACGTGGGAAGAATATCTCAAAGCAGTAGAAGACATGAAACTAGGTAAAGCCGGGGGGGAAGATACGATGTTAGCAGAATACTTGAAATTTGGGGGGTCAGGACGATTTGGCGCAAAAGGGCTAGACACAAATCCCTGAAAACGTACCTTGCTGGCGGCGCCGTCGTGGATGGCTTTTAAGACCTTGCAATCTTTGGGGGGGACAACCTTTGATCGTCAGTAACCGCCAAAGTGCGTGGCGGGGCGCATTAGGGTAAGCCTTTTCCAAATCGAAAAACCTGAACAAAATGGTGTGGGGGTGAACCGACTGCGCTGTTTACTCCAGTAATCGACGTGTAACCTGATGATCTGATGTATATCGTCTACCCCGGAACCCGCTTTAAACCCTAATTGGTATGGATTCAGCCATGGGAGACACCAGCGCTGAAAACGCGCGGCACAAATACGCGCGACCAATTTCGAGCCTACGGACAGTAGGGGCAGACGAGGCAGGACGGCTCATGAGCAGCGCATCTCACCTGGCGTGGACTGGACTTACAAGGTAGATGGCCGAGTGGCCAAACGTAAAGGGGACAGAGAAGAAGAAGGACGGAACATCAAAACAAGTAGGATCGGAGATTTTGCATACGCGGATGACACTGCCATAGTCGGTCACGCACAGGAAGTTGCTCCAGCAGAAACGTTGTTTGTTCAAACGGTGTAGGATTTCGCAGGCAAAGTCAACGCTCATAAAACGGAGGGTCTGCGAGTCTGTGATCAGACCAGAGCCTGGTATGACGTACCTTTTTTGGGTGAAACTTCCACGCTCAAATACGTAGGGGTCATCTTATCCGAACGGGCGGGGCATCAGGCGGATACAGCCCGGGCGGCCATGACAAGGAGTACAAAGAGTTGAACAAATATCGGTAGCCTGGACTAAAGGCAGGCAGGTGAACAGGCGAAAGAAGGATCTCAAGCTTTCAGTTCGCATCCGAGTTCTGAAAGCGGTAGTTAAGGGAGTTTTGTTTACTTTTGTCCGCACCCAGTCTTGGCAAACTTCTCAAATTCATCGTCTACAAGCTGTTATCCATCTGGCAGTCCGTCGAGCTTTTAATATTCGTACGTACAGTTTGCGTCGTCGAGGTTTGTCCAACGCTACTCTGTGTCGTCTTGCACAATGGGAGCCCTTCCTTACGGCTGCGCGCCGTGCCTCCTTGTTATGGTTGGGGCATATAGCGCGTATGCCAACTTCTGCTCCTCAGAAACAACTACTCTTCGGAATCGGTTGGTTGGAAAATGCAGGGGCTAAACAACACTGCCCGTTCAAGCAAGCCCAATGTATCTCTGAAATTGACTGGTTCAGGCTTGCTCAAAATAAGAGTCAATGGCGCACGTTGGTCCTCACAGCATTTCCAGTTGAACAAGTGGCACCTAGTAGGGAACAAGAATTGGATGCTTGGAAACTTCGGGATCCACTTCCCGAGTGGGGAAAGACGTAGAGGTGGCGATGTCCAAGCAGACCATCGTGTGTATGCCCGTCGGCCGCGAAACATCAAACGCAAACCTCGGGGGGGGGGGATACCCCCACATGCCCAGTTTGCCAACAGGTGTTTGACAAGCGCAATCAATTAGCGTTTCACTATGAGGCCACTCACTCGGTATGCACGCCAACACTGACCACAGTGCAGGCCTATTCGTGTACCAAATGCATGCAAACCTTCCGCCGTGTCACAGCATATAAAAGCCACGATTGTCCAGCTACCAAACGGTTGGCGCGATTAGACCAGATAGATGATGAGCGCCAGGTAGCTGGACCTGATCGGGGCCTTCACCACCCCCTCCCACGTAGCTTCCATATTTTTACGGATGGATCAGGGGGCGCCAATCCAGGGGGGCCGGATGTGGTAGCAGGATGGGGGGTGGCAGTTTTCGATCATGCTGAACCGGTCATGGAGTCTCAGTGGACAGCAGCCCTCTATGGACCGGTCAACGTCACGCGATATGATCCTATCTGGTTGGGTGCCCTAGTTCACATCCACACAGGTTTACCCCCTCACCATCCTCGACATGCCACGATATATTATGACTCCGTCTATGCTTACCGGGCAGTTACTCGG